GCGCCCTGAGCCGCGGGGCGACCGCGTCGGCGACGGCGCCGACATCCATATACATTTGCGCGGCCTCTCGCGCCAGAATAGAGGCGGTACGGGTTAAGGGGGCTCTGCTTGACTGCGGCCCCTTCATTGCAGGGGCGCGCGCGGCTGCCCCTGGCAGAGGGGGCGGGCGATCACGAAACCGATTATCTTAAGGGGAAATTCTCTTTGGAGAATTCTCTTAAGAGAATTCTCTTAAGAGAATTCTCTTAAGAGAATTCTCTTAAGAGAATTCTCTTAAGAGAATTGTGTGGATGTCTCAGGCAAAACCAACAATTCTCTTAAGAGAATTCTCTTAAGAGAATTCTCTTAAGAGAATTCTCTTAAGAGAATCTCTCTCGTAAAGGTCGCTTGCAGTGCACCCCCCCTCGCTGCATGGGGGCCAGACGAGTCCCGCTGAGGGGCGAAACGCCCCTGGCTGAGGGCGGGGCTGGGCGTATCTGACGGGCCCCCTAGGGGGGTTGGGGGGCGCGGTGTTCCTGATTGAGGGGGGCCCCTGAAACATCTTTGACGGGCCCCTTGCGGAGGGGCACCGCCGTCCTTTACTGAGGGTGAGCCCCTTTAATGAGGGGGGGCAGTGTGAGCAGGGGCAGCAGGGGGGAGCAGTAGCATTGCATCATGGGTGAGTCGTTCGGGCCCCTGTGCTTGCCTGCCGCGCAAAGCAATCCAGAGAGGGGGGCGCCCCTTTTTGAGGGGGCGCGCACCCCTTACTGAGGGGGGGGCCCTGGCACATCCCCTCCCCCTCCCCGCCTCACCGCTGATGAGGTAGCACCCCTTCTCTTCGAGGGGGAGGAGGCGACCGCGTGGGTTGCGAGCCCCTTCGAGGGGAGAGAAACGAACCCCTGGCTGAGGGGAAGGCTCGACGATACTGAAATGTACCACCACACACGCCACACCCACAGCACCACACCACACCCACACGCACCACTGAAGTGCGCGGGGAAGGCCCCCGACGATCTACTTGCCATTCGCAGGCGTTTCGGCTGCCGCAGGGCATTTCGATTTTGCTGCTGTATCCCAAATTTCAGGGGTCAGTCCCGCGGCAGCCATGCCCGCCCCAGGAGTAGTCCCTCCTCTGCTCCTGCTGGGCACTCTCCTCACACCGTTGTGCAGCATGGCGCCGAAGAAGAAGATCGAGGGCCAGGGCGCACCAGCGGCGAAGAAGTCGAAGGCGGCCCCGAAGGGGCACGGGCTCGACAAGCAGGAGGCCGACAAGATGAGGGCGTGGCTCAAGTACCAGTCGGAGAAGAAGGACGGCAGCGGGAAACCTACGAGCACAGCAGAATCCGCCAGAGCAGCCCAGGCGCTTTGGAACGGGATGAAGGACCCAGCCGATCGGAAGCGTTTCTTGCAGACCTTCGCGAGTGACAAGGACAAGACACTTGACTGGTTGGCCACCTTCGAAGAGAGATGCACGAATGAAGAGGTGCACGCGCGCTCTGCCAAGAAAGGGTACCGGAATGTATCGCAGGCACTGGCCCTCAAGAACCTCACCATCAAAGACTTTGCGAACATCCAGGAAGCCACTGCCTTCGTGCAGGAATGGTGGGAGGAGAACAGCGAAGAGCATGGCACCAAAGAAGAATTCCCCATCAAGGAAGATGTCAAGGACAGGCCTCTGTGGAAGGAGTGGTACTTCGTCGAGCGCAACATGGACGATGACCAGCTGGTGACGAAGGACTCGCGCACCTTCAAGGGGACGTCCAACCTGAAGAACCTGAAGCAACTCGAAGCTGCAGGCATCAGGATGGCCGAGCTCCCGTCGCCCAGCGCTTCGGGGTCGGGTGGGGGCGGCGAGGTGAAGATCGAGAATCCGCACTGGCCAGAGATCGTGAGTAAGAAGGACGAGATCGCGCGCCGTCCTCGGCAGCCGCCCCCTGCCCTTCCATCTCTGGTGCTCTGCCAGACCCCTCCCAGAGGGGGGCCCTCTCCCCCGCCACGCCCCCGCCGCCCCTCCTGGAGGGGATGGCGATAGAAACTGGTTCGTATCCGTTCTGTCGTGCGTTGTTTGCGTTGAAAAGCATGTCGGCGCATTGCTTGTTTATGATCCCTACCAAGGCAAATGCTGGTCAAGTATCAGAAGGAGCTGAAGTTCCTAAAGCACACGAAGAATCAGTTGCTCGCGAAGGCTGGGGATCAGGATCAGAAGGACCGTCAGAGCTTCCAGAACTGGGCCGATGAGTGCAAGAAGTGCGTGGACAATGCGGACCAGCACGAGACGGCGATGGAGGTTCTGATTGCGAAAATTGAGGGCGCTGATTCTGTCGGCAAGGACACGGACATGTACGATAAGCTGAAGAATGAGGTCCAGGCCGCCTACAACACACACGAGCACATGTTCGAGGGCATTCAGCTCTCGGTCAAGCGCTTCAAGAAGTTCCTCAATTGAGCTGCGGCCCTACATCTACATCTACATATCAGTATTTACATGCATATATGCAGTAGGGTTTGAGATGCTCTGCCTCGCCCGACGACACGCATGCAGCGCTGCCTTTCCGACGCCCGTGGGAAAACGAGAACTTGCCGCTTCCTCTGCCAGGGGTGCCCCTTCGTGAGGGGCCGCGTGTTTCTGGGTTTGCCAGTAAAGAAGCCCCCCTCATCGCAGGGGCGCGGGGGGAGGGGGGGGCGGGGGGGAGGGGGGCTTGGTATCATCAGGAGGGGAGTAGCAGGAGGGGAGGGGCATGAAAGGGATTGAAGGAGGGCGCGGAGGAGGGGCGCGGGAAAGGGCAAGGGCTCCTTGCCTCAGCCGCGCATGTCCGTAGCCACTGCAGTGGCTCAAGGCCGCCGCGCTCGCGCCTGTCTCCCGCGGGCCCCGCGGGATGCTTTCCAGGCGGCGGTTGCCTTATGACAGGTTGGGCTTGCCGCCGGAGAGGCGGCTGAGAGCGAACGTGCAGGACCTGATAAGCAGCAGCGTGGTCAGCGGGCAGCGCGGCGCTCAGCTGATCAATGACTGCGTCTCTGCATCTGCGACAGGTCTCTCCGACCTGCACACTACGGAGTCAACGTCGGGCATGAAAAACGCTGCCAGGAAGTTCAGGCGGGATTTCTTCAGGAAAGGGTGGCCTCCGCTCTATCACTGCCAGGTGAGGGGCTGGGACCCCAAGTCTGAAACAGAACAACTGATGGACTTAGCGATGATGCTTCCTCACGAAATACTTCATCAACTTCATCATTTTGGCGAGCGGAGCGTGCTACTGGAGACGTCGAGTCTCGACGGCGTGTCTCTGCGCCACGTGCAAAGAGCCAGGGCGGAGAGTGGTTGCAACGACCTGGTGGCCCTGGGCGTGTGGCAGGACGGGGTCCCTTGCTTCTGGGACCGATCGATGAGCGCAGAGATCATCAGCCTCATGTTGCCAGGGGCTGCGGGGCGCTGGAAAAACCTGCGGGCCCCAATCACAGCGTTCCTCAAAGAGCACGTGGGCCCCAACACATTTGATGATGTTTTTGCAGTGGTGCAGTGGAGCTTTGTTCACTTGGCTGCGAAGCGCTGGCCGGCGGCGCGGCACGACGGCCCCCCCTTCGGCGCGCAGGACGCATGGAAGAAGCGCCGACAAGTGGCCGATGCAACCCTACCAATTGGCGGAGTGCTTTGCCAGATCAAAGGGGACTGGAAGATGATGAAGGAGGTGCTCAAGCTACCTGGCTGGCAAGATGACGAAGTATGCTTCCTGTGCAACATCAAGAAGGACGAGGCCATGGGAGCGCAACACATCAGGGGAGGATGGAAATCCCCTCTGGGAGGGGGTGCGTCGTCGTCGTTTTGCGGCCCCTTCCAGGGGGGGTGGAGGAGGAGGAGGAGGAGGGGTGGAGGAGGAGGAGGAGGAGGAGGAGTGTTTTTGGCTACTCCCCGCAGGTGAAATCGCAGACTGGGAGAGACGCGCCGTGGAGAACGCACCGACGCACATGGCCAGAAGTCCTTGCGAAGATTATCGTTTCAGGCGAGCAGGTGTGCCCTCTCTTCCAAGTGCCGTATGCGAGCGAAAAGTTGCTGAAGCTAGATTGGTTACACGTTGTTGATCTTGGAGTAGCGGCTGACTTCATAGGGGGCTTGCTATGGTATCTTGTAACGCACAAAAAGGTGGCTGGAACTACCCAGAAAGGCCGCGTCTCCACACTACATGGTCATTTGATGGCGTTCTACGACAGGCAGCCGCCAGGTGAGAAGACCAGCCGCCTATCGAGACTGACGCGGGGCGTTGTGAAAGGAAAAAAAGCAACGACGGCTAAGATGAGGTGCGGCGCGGGGATGCTCAGGCACATGGTTCCATGGGCATTGGAGATGGCGGAGGCTTTCCTTGATAGGAGGAATGGCGTCGACGAGCGGGCAGCTGTAGAATCGTCCATTCACGCAGGGATGAAAAGCTTATCTCGGTGTTACGAGGCACTCTCTGACAATCACCCATTTGCTGTGGACATTCTTAGAGAGCATTCAAGTAAGTTTGCCACGCAGACGGCCGCTTTGCAAGACGCGCTTCCTGCCCATTTTAAAGTGAAGCCTAAAATGCACATGTTTCTGGAGCTGTGCATGGGCGGCGGTGAACCAGCGAAGCACTGGAACTATAGGGATGAGGATTTCGGTGGATCTGCAGCTGCATTTGGCCGAAGGAGGGGCCAAAGGAGGTCCATGAGAGCGTTTTCGGCGGCATGCATCTCTAAGTTCTGCGGCCAGCCGATTGCGCGCATGCTTTGAAAAGAACGCTTCTGTGTGTATCGTTGTCATTCATTGCTGTCGGCTCAAATATATGTTGGACCCCTCCCAGTGGGGCGAGCGCGAGCATGGGCGCTGAAGCCCCGTTTGCCCCAAAACGGCGGGTCGAACTATTTTCGGCGCGCCCGAACTATAGATCGACCCGCAGAAAAGTATAACCCCCGCATTATAGTTCGACCCCGCACTATAGATCGACCTTGGAGTCTCAAGGAGGAGGAGGAGGAGGAGGAGAAGATGATGGAGCTGTGGGGTGGAGGATTTTTTAACATCGCCGTGCACTGCCACCACTAAGGGTCAGCGGGGGGCCAGCCCTGGACCTGACCAGGAACAGGCCCCCCGACCGCGTTGAGGAAGCAGTGGAAGTCGACGTAGTACACGTGCCACGTCGCCGAGCGGGAGACCAAATGCTCCACGCACGCGTGCACGAGGAACCACCCGAGCGACTCCATGAGCTCCGAGAGCCCGGAATCGCCACTGCAGCTCCACGAGCACCATCAGGAAGACCGAAGGGAGCGCTGCGCGAGGAGCCTCCTCGCGACCTCCCTGACGTCCTCCACCACCGAGGGCTCCTCCACCATCAGCGTCGCCGCCTCCGGAGGACCAGTCCGCCCCGCCGCGCTAGCAGCTCCGCCAGCCGCACGAGCTGGCTCCGCCGCCACCGCACCAGCAGCACAGGGCGGGGCTCGACGAACAGCATCGTCGGCCCACGTGTCGTCGAAGTCGATGTCGCCATCGGAGTCCGCCCAGGCGGAAGGCTGCGCCGCCTGCACGAGCCGCAGGCCCGCCCCAGCAGCGCCAGCATCCGCCGCCGCGCCCTCCACGTCGACAATCTTTTTCTCCTTCTCCTCCTTCTCCGCCGCCTTGCGCGCCGCGCGCCGCTGCCGCCGCCGCCGCCGCTTCGCGGCATGCGCCGAGGGGCGCGGGTCGGCAGCCGCTGCACCAGCAGGCCCAGGACGTGGAGGATGAGGGGCGCCGCCATCAGCGCCGTCGGCAGGCAGCGCGGGAGCCTCGGCCGCCCTGAACAGGGCAGCCGAGACTGCGGACCGCGCGACGGCCGCGACGGTGCGCCTCGGCGCGCCACCCAGCACGGCGCCGCGCACGGCCGCTTCCACCAGGGCGGAGGCGGCGAGCAGACGGAGGCAAGAGAAGGATGGAGGAGGGGGAGGAGGAGGAGGAGGAGGAGGAGGAGGAGGAGGAGGAGGAGGAGGAGGAACCTCATCCTCACCCTCGCCAACAGGCGCACGCACCTTCTTCTATATACAGAAACTCCCGATCAACCGCAGAGCGGCCGGCTAGTAATGTGCGGTTCAAGTTGGCCCACGATGACTTCCATGATACCTCCAAGTGGCCACATGATAGCCCAAAAACAGCTCCGAGTGGCCACGGAACTCCCAAGGAGACCCCCGTGAGGCCAAAATCACTCCAGAACAAATGGCACATTAACGCAATGTAGGTCCTCTCGCGCGTTTGTTTCCGATGAGCTCCCGACGCCTCAAGATGGCTCTCAGATGCTCCCAAGAAGGCCTCCACGGCCCCAAGGGGGCCCCAACATGGCTCCAAGAGGCGCCCAAACGGCCTCAAAGAGGCGCCCAAGATGCCCCCCACGAGGCCCACGAGCGGACCCCAAGGAGGCCGCAAGAGGCCCCCAAAGGCACCCACAACGCCCACAGAGGCCCCCCGACCGCAAAGAGACCCACGAGGCGCCCCAAGAGGTCTCCAAGAAGCTTTACCCGAAGAGACTCTGAGATGCATCAATGGCCTTTCTGCTTGCCCTCCTCCTCCTCCTCATCCTCCTCCTCCTCCTCCTCCTGCCAAGTATTCCTCCTCCTTCCTCGTCCCTCCTCCCCCTCCCCCTCCTCCTCCTCCTCCTCCTCCTCCTCCTCATCCTGCTCCTCCGATTCCTCCTCAATCCTCACCTTCTTGGGGTATGACGTCTTCCCCAGCCCTGAATTCCACTGCATACTCCTCCACATCCCTGATCAGGGTAACTCATTTGCGTATCGTTTCTGGATGGACTGGTGGGGTTACAGGAAGCGTCGCGAATTCATCACCCCAACCACCGACATATTACCATGCCTTACGTTATAATCTCCATGTGAGTGAAGTGGGTAATCATGACCACCACCATCATTATCGTCACCGCCGTTACTATAACACCATCATCATTCGCATCATCAATGTCATCACTACTCCTCAGGCCGTTTCGGAACAAACCTCCACAACCTTTGCTGACGATCCCCGGCCCGTGACGTCAGCAACGGGAACCTAATTAGGGCACCTTCGAGACGCCAGTCTCACCTGCCTCGGGGGCTCCGTGGGGAACAGCTGATGCGCCGCCTCGAGACGCTGGACGGGTTCGAAGAGAAGAGAACCTGGCGGCAGAGACAGCCTGACAGGCTGCTGGGTCGCTCCCGGCTTTCTGGCAAGCGCAGCTGTCTCCCGTGCGCTTCCCCCGGGTCCCTCCCCCCTCCGTGCGGACCTCCTGACGAGTCCTGGGGGGGGGCACCAGGGAGGAGGAGGAGGAGGAGGAGGAGGAGGAGGAGGAGGAGGAGGAGGAGGAGGAGGAGGAGGAGGAGGAGGAGGGTTCGAGGGCGACACCACGCGGCTCGCTGCGACAGCGCAGATCGAGCCAGGCCGACGCCGAGCCACCCGCCGCCCTCCGCCCCGGACGCCCGCGCCCGATCCACCACGGTGCCAGCGCGGCGCGAGCCTGCCGCAGAGCAAAGGGGTCGGACATGGGCAAGAAGCAGCCGTGATGGGCCTGTTTCCCACCACCACCACCACCACCACCAGAAGTTGGATGGGGGGATAGAGGAGGAGGAGGAGGAGGAGGAGGAGAAGGAGGAGGGGGAGGAGGACGACGAAGAGAAGGAGGAGGAGGTGGAGGAGGAGGAGGAGGAGGAAGAGGACCTCCTCCCCCTCCAACCTATGGTGGTGGTGGTGGCGGAAAACAGGCCCATCATGAAACAATCGTGTCCTGAGGGAACGGGTTCTGAATCCCAGAGAGCCTTCCCCGGAGACTTGTTCCGAATCCGCCGCGGGGAACTTACGGTCCACGACATCGAGGCAAGCACGTGTTTTACTGGACGTTTGCGAGTAGGCACTTCAGGCGGCGCGCCCAGGGGAAAGTGAGAAGGGGCGGGCCTTCTCAGAAGGCTGGGAAGCCCCCCAGCCTTCTGAGAAGTTTTCGGAACCTTCCCCGAAGACACAAAAAAGCCTCCCAGAAGGCGCGAGGGCTTCTGAGAAGTCCCACCGCCTTCTGAGAAGGCCTTATCCTTCTCACTTCCCCCCCCCCGCTCGCCGCCCACACTTTCTGCGAAAAGTGGAACGCGCTCGGTGAACAAAAAAAACCGGGGGCGGTCAAGAGGGGAGCGTCCAAGAGGGGGGGGGGGGGGCACAAATCATGGCCGGCGGCACGTGCGCTGCCCAGGGGGGGGGACCGGGGACGTAGTGAAACAAGAAGAGGCGCCAGGAAATCTGAGAAAACAGCATGGCCCCCGCCATGATGTCCACCCCCCTCTAGTCCTCACCCCCCTCTTGGCCGCCCCCGACCCGAGGGGGGCGGCCTCTGAGGCCTCTCGGGGACCCCCCGACCCAGGTCAGTCCACGCCCGGGCCAGTCGGGCCTCGCAGGGTCTCCTGCAGGATCCAGCATGATCCTGCAAGAGGCACCCCAACCCGGGCCAGTGCACCCCGGGCCAAGCTTGGACAGAAGCCCCGCTGCGGAGGTCGTCGCCCACGCGTCGCGTCGCAGCCGTGCCTGCAGGAGCACTGCTCTGGTCCGTGCGGTCCTGTTGGTCCGCTCGGAGGCACTTCGCCGATCGCCGCGCCCTCACGTCGGTTCATAGGGTACCCTTCCGCCTCCTCGTGCCCCCCCTCCCCCGCCCCCCCCTCCCTCGTGAAAGGCTTATAACGACTTCTGCCATCCTTCGACTCGCGCTGGAGCGGCCGCGAGGTGCTCCAACTTTCCCTGGAGATCGCTGATTCTACCTTGGTTTGCCTGGCTGTATCTCGATGTACCTGGATCTGCCTCGGTTCGTCTGCCATGTGCCTGGATGTATCTTGGCTCGATCCCCACACAAGTCGATTGGCGAAAAGTCGACAAGCCCTCAGGGACTCCCCATCCTGCTCCCCAGACCCCCTCGAGTCTTCTAGGGGGCCACTTGCAAACCCTACCCCTACCCCCCACGATTTCTGAGGGGGAGGGTGGGGTTCACTTCGCTCGGGAGCTCTAGAATTAAGTGATCCCCACCCTCCCCCTCAGAAATCGTGGGGGGGAGGGGTAGGGTTCGCAAATGCCCCCCTATCCTCACCCCCCTCCTGGCCGCCCCCCGACAGACAGACCTCAGGACCCTGGCCTGCACGGAGGGTCGCCGGGGGGGGCGCAGACCGCAGGACCCCCCCCCCGCCCGTGGCCACCGTCGACGGCTGTGTGGCCTTTTCCATGCGCGGGCCCCCGGAAGCGCCGACTCCTTGAGCGCGTTCCTTCATCTTCGGCGATAGTGGGCATTATGGGGTCCCGGAGCGCACTTGGGGGGGAAGAGCGTTACGTTATAGGGGGGGAGGGGGGCCGGGGGCTGTAATGCCCAGTATGCCCCAAGCAATAAAAAACACGCTCCTTCTCCCAGGAGCAATTTAAGACGAAGCCATCAGAATTGTGTTGCTCCCATCGTATTTAAGGACCACATCCCGGAAATCATTGTGAGCACCTAGAACAATATCGAAACAATGTCGAACGAGTATCGCCTGCCAGGGCCCGACACGTGAAATCCATCCACTTTCGTTACTTGTTTGGTGCTCAACAAATCTTCCTGGTTATTCAGGCTAAGGTAGGTTGGAACATGATAAAATCAGAACAGGGAAGAGGTGCCCATATCTTTACCCCTTCGCTCGTTTTCCCCTTCCTGGGCCTCCTGGGAGGCCCTCGTCGCCACCGCTGGATTCGCCTCGAAGTCCTGGTCAGAACGCGTACCTTTTGGTTTTCCCTAGCCAGGACGAAGATAACATCGGACGAGGATGAAGCGAAAATCTCTGAGAGCCGGTGGCTCCGGACGCCGCGGCCTTTTCAGAGCGTCCTGGAAGGCTCTGGGAGCCTTCCGGGACCCTCTGAGACGGATACGTCCCCGTGCTAGCCCCGTCCGTCATCTGTTCCTCCGGGGGCGCCCTCCTCCTCCTCCTCCTCCTCCTCCTCCACCTCCACCTCCTCCTCCTCCTCCTCCTCCTCCTCCTCCTCCCTCCCAGCAGCAACTGTTCCTCCAGAAGCTTCGTCCCGCATCCGCTTGCGACGGTCCCCCGTGGCCAGACCGTCCAGGGCGTGCAAAAAAAGCGGGGTATTCGTAGAGCAGGGCCCGAGACATGTGCGCGACCCAGGTGGGGCCGAGGGATGGGTCGACGCAAGAAGAGGGGGCCAGGCGACCCAGGGAGACATGATGGCCCATGCCATCGGTCGGGCGTGTCCTCCTACTGACGGAGTGTGAACAAAAAGCAAATAGTCAAATAATGTTGAATAAATACTCAGAAGCCATAGAAATATCGTCCCCAGACGATCTTTGTTTGACTACTGTTAGATATGCTTTTCCTGTAGAGAGACGTGCCCGATTTCAGCCTCCCTCTTGGAGGCCGCCGAGAAGACAGCCCCCGGAAGCCGAAAGTCGAGAAGAAGACATGGGCAGAGATCTGCGGCAGCGGGTGCCGCTCGGCGACGGCGGCAGGGCCCGCGAGCTGCGGCCGGTACGGCCTGCACCAACGTCCCCGACGCCGCCGACGACGGCGACGACGGCGAAGACGACGACGACGACTGCGAAGAGGATGAGGATAAGGATAATAATGATGATGATGATGATGATGATGAGGATGATGATGATGGATGGTGATGGTGGTGATGATGATGATAATAATGATGGTGATGACGATGATGGTGATGAATATGAAGATGAAGATGATGATGGTGATGCTGATGATGATGCTGATGATGATAAAGATGAGTTTGAAGATGAGATGAAGATGATAATGATGATGATGATGATGATGATGATGATGATGATGATGATGATGATGATGGTGATGATGATGCTGCTGACCATGTTGATGATGATGCTGATGATGTTGATGATGGTTATTGTGGTGGTGGCGGTGATGGTGATGGTGATGGTGATGGCGATGGCGATGGTGATGGTGATCGTGATGGTGATGGCGACGACGACGGCGACGGCGACGGCGACGACGACGACGACGGCGACGATGACGACGGCCTGCACGAACATCCCCGACGCCAGGGGCATCGGCGCCGAGGGCTCGAGGACGCAGGACAGGCGTCTCCAGGTGCCTCCGCGCCCGCCAGCCGAGGAGGCGCCGCCGCCCGGGAGGAGCAGGAGGAGGAGGATGGGGAGGAGGAGGAGGAGGAGGAGGAGGAGGAGGAGGAGGAGGAGGAGGAGGAGGAGGAGGAGAAGAGGGAGGAGGAGGAGGAGGAGAGGAGAGAGGAGGAGGAGGAGGAGGAGAGGAGGAGGAGGAGGAGGAGGAAGGAGGAGGAGGAGGAGGAGGAGGAGGGAGGAGGAGGAGGAGGAGGAGGAGCGGGAGGAGGAGGAGCCCTCGCCCATCGCCACCGCCGCCGCCGATCGTCGATCGTCGAGCGCAGGGCCGCCGCCCTCGCCGCCGCCGCCGCCGATCGTCGATCGCCAGCCCTCGGCCCACGCCCTCGGCGAGGTAGCGGTGCAGTCGACCCGTATCATAAGGACGCGCGGTAAAGATGCATGGGCCTGCGAGACTTGAACGTGGTAAAACCTGAACATGGGCTTTGGAGGCCCATGTTCACGTTTTTCGGACGAGGCTGGCCAGCGAGAGTCGCTAAAGATGGGGCCGAAGGGGCAAGGATGCAAGGGTACCCTTGGGAAGGTTGCCCATGCTTACCATGCGGGTTGACTGTATCAAGCCCAAGTCACGGACAAGACCGTGGAGAATGCAAGCGGCTCGCACAGGGGAGGAGGAGGAGGGGGGACGGCTCCTCGGGGGGAGGCCGCTTCTCATGAGGCGCCAGCCCTGCACCTACAGACGAGGCACGCCCCTTCCGAGCAGCAGTGGGTGCTCCTCGGAAGCCTCCCCCCCTCTCCCTGCCCCCCCCTCTGTGCGCGTGGCCGCGGAGCGCTGGGAACTCTCAGAATCCAGGCCCTGTGCCTCTCACTTTGTGCGCCGAGATGCCGGCCGTGCGCGCGCGCGTGCTTTCCAGTGCTGGCCGAGGGAGGAGGAGGAGGAGGAGGAGGATCAGGAGGAGGAGGAGCAGGAGGAGGAGGAGGAGGAGGAGGAGGACGAGGAAGAGGAATATGCGGAGGAGGCTGATGAGGAGGGGGGAGGAGGAGGAGGAGGAGGAGGAGGAGGAGGAGGAGGAGGGGGAGGAGGAGGAGGACGAGGAGGAGGAGGAGGAGGAGGATGAGGAGGAGGAGGGGGGGGCGCCCGAGCGATACGTCTTGAGAGCGCGCCCTGCTGCAGCTGCGACTCGGGCCGCCCGCCGCACGCACGCCCACCGCCGGCCTATCCAGCGTCGGCCCCCGCCGCGCCCGCGCGGGCTTCCTGCATCGGCGCGGCACGGCCCTTGGCGGCGCCGCCCCCTGGCGCGGGAGCCGCCGATCCAAGACACCCGCGCGGCCCTCTGAGGACTACCTACCAGACCACCCCAGCCCAACCCGAGGACCCCAACTTCGGGTTTTGGGGGGGTGCGGGCTCCATACGTGTTTTGTCAGTGCTCCCCGCCCCCCCCCCCAACTGGAAATGGAGGGCGACTTGAGGCCTTCGGGTTGGGTTGGGGTGGTTTGGTGGGCGGCCCTCTGAACTTACTCCAGATTTCGTAATAAAAGGGAGCGGGGGTCTGGACCCTCCAAGACAAGCCATTTCAGACCTCCCCCGTGGGAGAACCCTCCAAAACATCGTCCCCAGACCCCCCAGGCCCTCCAAGATAGCCTGGAAGAACCCCCCCCCGAAATGAGACCCCCCTCCCTTTATTACGAAATCTGGAGTAAGCAGACCCTTCTTCTTCGAGCCACCGCCGCGGCCGTGGAACCGCCGGCCGCAGGCCGTCGAAATCCGAGAGGTGCGAGGGCCCGGGAGTTGGGATGCTCTGGCTCCTCCAGGCCTGGGGTAGGTCGGGCGTGTCCCCCTACAGGTAGGAAGGCACCAACTATACACCAACACCGATCCTGGCCAGGATCACCCTGGGCCCAGGATCGGTGTATACGCCCTCCTGCCTTGCGCAAGAAGGCATATACACCGATCCTGGGCCCAGGGTGATCCTGGGCCAGGATCGGTGTTGGTGTATAGTTGGTGCCCTCCGAACAGGCGGATTCTGGGCGAACGGTAAAAAATACTCCAAGACAAATGCCCCGAAATGCTCCAAGAGTATTGGCAAAGTTGTCCCCAGGCTATTGTTTGACTATCTTCGAATATTCCTCCTGTATAGGAACGCGCCCGACTTAAGCCTGGGAGCCTCCGGAGGCCTCCGCCGCTGCCGCCGCCGTCGCCGCCGAAAGGGGGTGGTGGAGGGGCGCGAGCTCGCGAGCCGAGGGCCAGCGTCGTCAAGGCCCGCGTGCCCCAGGAAGCAGGGCACGCGGGGCGTCGAAGGTGGGCGCGAAGCGCAGGGTGGGGGAAGGGGGGGGATTGGGGGGCAGCCAAGGCAGACAAGCGCGCTCCACTGCTTGCAGAGTAGCCACTCGCAAATGGCCTGCATCCGCCGCGGGAGGTTTACGATCTATTACATAAGGGAAGACACGTTGATTTCGGACGTTTGCGAGTACAGTGTGGGCGCGGCCGCAAGAAACCCTCGCAAGAAACCCAACCCTGAGAACCCGTGCGCGAGGTGCACCCGAGGGG